AAAAATCAGAAAATACCGGACATTTTAGGTGTATGGTATTTTCACCGGACAGGAGGCGAAAATACCAGACTGTCTGGGTCAATACCGGACACCTGGCAACCCTACAAGGGAACCACCTAAGATACCCAGTATGAAATGCAAAAAAGGGGGGTTGGTGGTTTACATTTCACTTCTCAAAAGAAATTAGGCTGGGAGTTACCTACCTGTGGACCCCTGGAGTTAGACATCTAAGCTTCTTGCTCACATACGCAAAGAAAGAGAGATGATGGTACCAGCCCCCTCTTATTCAGTAGTCCATAGGTTACAGCCCTGACTCCACATGTGGGAGTGCCCTATTCTAATCCCAGCTCTGCCTATTGTGGGACAGTGACTCAAACACAGGACTTGCACCTCCTACAGAAGTGCCCTAACCACTTGGTTAACCGGGGGAGGGCAGCACTCCAGAAGCTGAGCCAGTGAGAGCATGCAAGTGCCAATGGCCTAGTTGTTACTGGAAGAGCCAGATTCCAATCTCTGTTCCACCTCAGACCTCGCGATATGAGTGACCACATCTGGAGACATCGGGAAGCAAAGGCCAGTGTTAACCATTTGGTCCCAACTAACTTGTCCAAGGTCACATCTGTTAGTGATAAAGTCACAAACATAACCCAGAACCTTGATTTCCATTCCCCCCCTCACAAACATAACCCAGAACCTTGATTTCCATTCCTTTTTTTTTTTTTTTTAACCTTTAGACCACACTGCTTTTACACAGTCACACCCAGCCTGGGGTTTTTACCTTGACTTTTATATATGATACTGAAACTTTCTCAAGTGGCGCTCCACATGGCTCGTGTGCAGTTGGTTGTCATACTATGCAGTAGTTGCCTTATATTAAAGAGATCTGTTCGTAGTTCAGACTTTACACTGATGCTTTGAAGAATACTGAGCCAGCTCAGTTGCAATTAAATAATACCCTTTCGAGCTAGGTATTTTAAGATGGTGCATATTTGAAACTACCGTTTCAACTGAAACTGTTTCCATATGTCTGAAATTAAGTGTTACGATTAGTGGGAGTCAGCAGTGCATAATTTAAAACAGCACACACAACTCCGGTGTTGCTTTAGGTGAGATACACATTGCTATTGGCTGTTAGAAGTAATTGCTGGAATGTAGCACACTGTAATAAATTAAATGTGGTATATGCTAAGCATGCATGCTTGCCATCTGGTTGCCAGAGAGTTGCTGTTATTACTTTGCACGTAAATACAAGTGGTATTTAAATGCAGGGAACTGAAGTGTGCCTAATGCATAAATTCCCACATGATTTAGGGCTCTAGCCCCCTAGACTCAACATTTGTTTTAAAATATGAAATAAGAAGAAAATTTGGAATTGGAGGCCTCCTTTCTTTGCAATTATCACAAGCTACAATAAAGTGAAGCCAACATATTAGATATTGCAACAATAAAGCCATTCTGTGAATGGACTTCTTTGTAGCATGCTACCTCAAATACTCTGAATAATACTGAATTCCTTCCATTATCTAAGCTATTTGTTGATTTCTACATGTGCAGGTCTCAATCTCTAGAGCCCTGCAGATTTGCAGATAGTCACTTTATATCAGAAAATGTCTGCGGATAAATGCATATCCAAATTTTAAATCTAGAGATCTGCAAATCTGTGGGCATCTTTGTGAATCACAGATCAGATGCAGATATAAATTTTGTATCTACACAGGGATCTATCAATCTCCTAGTTGCTGCACATGCAGAAAATCTGCTGATTTTGCATGCAGTTTGATTCAAGGCCTGTATTTGTACATCTCTATGTGGATACACTTTACGGGGATGACTTCAGTGGGAACTGTATATATACATAGTAGCTACAGACCAACCTTGGATGAGCCAAATCCTGCCCTGGTTTACACTCTTTGCAAACCTGCTAAAGCCAGGGCTGAATTTCTTCATTCTGAGCATCACCGGTAGAAAGGCTAACAGAGAATTGTGTGAAAACACACGAATAACACTCTATTCTATGGTCAAATTAAATGGGAGTGGTCACCAATCCTCGTGTGGCTATTGCCATAAGGCTCAACCTTACGAGGTAGTGTGGCATTACATCACCTGTGGAGATGGCACACAGATAGTGGAGATGCTGAGAGCCTCAGAAACTCCTGAGACTGGCACCTCCTCCTGCTACTTTTGCAGATTCCCCTGTTTTGTGTGTCCTAACCCCATGAGGAGGTGAAGCCTTCTCTGCTTTTACCAAAGGAAGGGGAGCAGAAAGCAATTTTCCCTTGTGGTCCCCTTATTGTAACCCTTAATCGGATTAATAAAGAAACTGCTAATGACACTGGCGTCTTCAGTGAGCCTAGAGGCTTTCATTCCTTCAATGAAAAGAATTCACTTGGAATTTTCTCTTCAGATTAGAACAGCTGCTGCCCTCCTGTGACTTTTTACATAGGAGGGTGCACTTTCATGAACAGATGTGCATAATTCTTTGGTCAGGTACTCCTTACTCCTTTCTGTACCAAAATGGGGTCCAAAGTTGGAGAAAACTGACTCTGAATAACTCCAGAGATGATGACTGACATTGTTTGACTCTTCACATATAAAGTTAATTTTTAACAGTTGACTATCCTTATGACCCATTAGCAAGCCAACTGCATTCAGACTGTGGGCTGGATTCTCAGCTGAGGTAAACAGACATAAAACAACACTGACATGAGCCAGATGAAGCTCTGGCCCTTTAAATTCAACTGCGATCAAAGCCCTGCTATGGAGCAAACATATTCTTCTGTGAAGAAAGCAAACACAAATTGAAAAGTGTCCAAAGAAACTTCCCTTTGGATGCGAAGTATGAGGGAAATTAAACCACAACTTAATTTATTCATATCTGATCCTTTAGTTTAAAGGCCAGATTTTGCACTGGACTATCTAGATGTGATTTTCACTGAATTCAGTGAGAATCACACATGGATATCCCAGGGCAAAATTCTTGCTGAATTCAGTATGAATTACACAAACATCACCAAGAATGGAAATATGGCCCAAAATATCTATGAATTGAATCATGAAACTCCTGGGATGAGGGTGGGAAGCTCTGAGGATTCTCCATATCAACAGATAATTTACTCAGTCTTAGTCTAGACCACAAAGTTTTGCCAGCATAGCTAAGCATAGGTACGCGGGCTAGAAGTATAGAGGGGGAAAAAAAATCACACCATCGACCATTATAGCTATGTTGGCATAACCCCCAGTGTAGATTCAACTATGCCATTGTGAGTGCTTCTGTTGACATAACTAATGTCATAAGGGTAATGGTGTTACTATGCCAACAAAAGGACCTCCTTCTATTACATACACTATGGCTGTATCTACACTGAATTTCCGGAAATGCTTAAAACAGAATAGTTTCCGTTATAAGTATTTCTGGAAAAAGAGCGTCTACATTGGCAGGCTGCTTTTCCGGAAAAGCCCTTTTTCCGGAAAAGCATCTGTGGCCAATGTAGACGCGCTTTTCCGGAAAAGAGCCCCGATCGTCATTTTCGCGATCGGGGCTTTTTTCCGGAAAAGACTACTGGGCTGTCTACACTGGCCCTTTTCCGGAACAGTGTTCCGGAATAAGGACTTATGCCCGAGCGGGAGCAGAATAGTTTTTCCGGAATAGCAGCTGATTTTGTACAGTAGAGCATCGTTGCTTTTCCGGAAATTCAAGGGCCAGTGTAGACAGCTCGCAGCTTATTCCGGAAAAGCGGCTGATTTTCCGGAATAAGTGGCCCAGTGTAGACACAGCCTATAGCTCAGCTGAGATAGTTATACCAACAAAGCCTTTGTAGTATAGACAAGCCCTTATTTATTAGGAAATGTATATTGATCCCCAGCATAATGGCATGGGAAGCCTTCTCCAAAGAAAATAATCAATACAGCCTAACATAATAAAACAGCTTTCTTTTTGTTAATAACTCATCCTATTTTCTATTTTATTCTGAAGGAAAAATCAAAAGTTTGATTTAACAAACAAAACGCAACTGAAAAGCACTGTAAACTGAGCATCTAACTCTTTGAAGACCACTAGAGGGAGCAGATTTTACCAATAGTCCACTGAGGATACCTCACCACTAATGAAAGTGTAAACCCAGAGATAGCAACACAACAGATCTTCATTTTTGTATTAGAGTTTCATTGGTGGGAATCTCTCAGATAACTAGTTGAATGACCAGTATAAGCAAAAAATAAAAATAAAAATGAAAGGGTGCATTGTGTAGCAGATATGCATGTTCTTTATTTTCTGCTGTTTGTAATACAGAAAATAACCTCTTTCAATATTGTCATTTTTCTTTTAGCAAATGTGATATTTTTCCCCTCTGTTTTTCTTTTTACTTCTTTTTTCATATTAGTATCCATGCATACAGCATGAATGAGAGAATGGGGTTTCTTAATTAACTAGTATGTCCTTCTTCCACAGAAATACATGAAAATTACAGGGTCTGTGTAAGTGACTCTTTTTGGTTTCTTTTACTTTAATTTCTTGGTGACAGTGATAATTATTTAACAGGGACATGGATACCATCAACAGAAAAATAATCCCATCTCTTTCAAATTTTGACCTACTGTTACAAAGTAACACTTAAAATTACTAAAACCGAAAGAGAGCGGAGAAAAACATTTTTCTTTGTTCTTTTTTCCTTCCCTTTTATGTGTTGACTTTCTTAAATTAATAATATCTTTGTATATTTGCCACTTTCAACATTTTTCCGGTATAGTTAATTCAGTTGTTTCTTGTGTGGGTCTTTCACAAAGCAACACCACAGAGATTGGCAGAGAAGATCAAGGCCAGGTGTTCTAGCTCCAGCTACTTTTAACGCATTTATTTAAATGTACTAGATTTCAAATTGATAGTGGCACTTTAAGATGAGAAATATAAATTCTGGAGCAAAGATTATAAGGATTACAAGTAGATTTAATTCAGGGCCAACATTACTTGATAGTTGATCCTTTTAACATGCCAGTGAACTTACCTCTCCCCCAGTGCAAGGAAAGGGTCTTGAGTATCTTGAAGTGCAAATTGCTCCTTTCTTTGTCACATCATCGTCCAGACCAAAGGTTGCTGAACAGTTAGTAGAAAAATACTTGTAAGGCTTCCATGTTTTCCCAAAATCCTGGGATCGCTCCAGAACCATGGCAGTTGGCCTTGGTGACTTAAAAACCATGATTATGTGAGTAAAGTAAAACTCAGCTTCCAAATCCAGCTGGATCTTCTCCTTGTGCATGTCCTCAGCTGACTGCCACCACGTGCGAGGCAATCGGAAGGAAGAGTCGGCCATGGCAGAGGGCGGGTGAGCCCGATGGGTATGAGCAGCATTGCATTTGTCACACTTGGGCTGCTTGCATGTTAGGTCTGCATTCTCACTGTATGAACAGTACAACTCAGTGGAGTTGCGCCCACATGTGGTATCTGTCCACAATCTCCGTCCATGGGCTAGGTTTCCCATCCGAGGGTTGCATGCTTTTTCGCAGTGGGACCCAACTCCAACAACACTGCTCAGTCCTACGTGAAGGAAAATATGTGTCAGTCTAAAGCAACCTGCCATGATCAACCTCATTCTCAGACTACTGCATTCAGTCTGCCATGAGAAACAGCTCCTTATGTAACCCTCACATTAGTGGACATACATCTTGCACTGGCCAACACAGAGAACAGGGAGAGAAGTCCAGAATCAGGGGATGAATCAGGGAGCTGCTAAAAGCAAGGGCAGCCCTCAGGATTGTACCTGTTTTAGTGTCTTCCTGGATCACAGGCCTGCCCTAGTCATGCCTCCTCCTGGTTCCAATATGCCCCCTGCTATTCCACCTAGGAGAGCCCTTCAACAGCCATATGACCCCTTTGCTTTAGCCTAGCTACCTCTCCTTCTGCAATGGATGCTACACTATACCCAGGGGCAGTAGATGCCCCCTAAGGTTTAGTGTGGTAGCCAAGGAACGCTGGGGTTTCCTGGAAACCACATGCAGGAAAAATTCTTAATGGGCAGTTTCTAGGGAACCCTGAAAGTTCTTTAGCTATCCCAATAAACATTATGGAGCACTTCCTGGTACAGTGGAAAAAAGGAGTATTCCCTTCTCTCGCTGTCCTGTCGGGCTTACTGGGCAAATGAGGTAGGTGAGTTTTGGGCAAGAGACAGAAGGGTGAGTAGTGCAGGGATATTAAAGCAAGATGCTTCAATATTCCTACTGAACCTGGAGGCTGTTTGCACAGTAGGAACATTGAAGCATTCCCTCCCCAGGTGCTGCAGAGGTCAGGATTTAGCCAGTACACTGGTTCATATTTTGGAAGTTTGTCACTAATGATGTGTAAAGAAAAAATTCCACTGTTGAAAGGGTGCTGGCAAGTTGCCCTGCAATTTAGTCTATGTGGTTTTTGTTCAGGTTTGTCTTGAAGTCTTGTTGATTTAAAACTCATACAATTACAGTGTCTAAACAGAAAATAAAATCACCACGGGGGTCCAATATGAAACCTTTTGCAATGCTACAGTCACGGTTTAGTAATTTTTATTACAAACTCTCCACCTATTAATGAAGCTGGCAGTCAGACAGGAACTAGATTGCATTTTATGACTCATAACCATTTAACTTGAAAAAATAAACAAAACAACTGTGATGATTTGAAAATGGGCATGCCAAAACATTTGAAGTGCATAATGTGTTCTTTATCACCGGGCCAAACATACACAATAAGTTTTATGCATCAATTATCATAGTTTCTTCTTGGTCTTTTTGCGAAGGTCAAGTGTCATTTTGGTTTACTATCTATTACATCGTTTATCTGGGGGCTATTACCATTATTCAGCTCTGGTATATAATGCCACAGTTGTGCTGGAGTTCTATCTCACACTAGCAGAGTGATCTGATAGATTTCCCTCCCCATATCCATTTCTAATACCAGGTTTTTATAAGTTTATTCAGAAAAGCCGTGGGACATTGTTTCCCCACATTTATTATAAAACACTCACAAATGGGGAGACAGTATTGGCTAAAAATATCTTAGCTTTTATTGATCAAAATCTCTTGGGTAATAAATCCACCACGGGGATAAGAAATTAAGTGCAATAAAAAGGACTATTCAGGCAAGAACTAAAATAAGACAGTCCCAGCTCAAATTTACAAAATATACTTATGCCTATAACAGTGAATAAATATAACTGTAGAATTCAAAAAACAACACTTTGCCTTCATAGAGATCCTTTTCAAAGTACTGTCCAAACAGAAACTAATTTATATAGCTCTCCTGAGAGGTAGGGAGTATTTTTACCATGTGCATTATCAGTTAGGCCTACCATCGGCTGACCTAATTTATGTGTTGGCTGCTGTTTTGGATGCTTTAACTACACTAGTGTAGTGAAGTCACCTGTGAAACAAACAGGCCAATGTATACTGCAATACCCTCCATTACATTTCAAATCACTACCTCTAATAGAAAGCACTTTTGTGAAGAAATAAACGTCAGTTCTTAGTCAGGACTCCAGTATGATTTTTAATTAGTATCCATATTGATCAAGTTCTATCTTTGTCCTCAATATTGTATAGTACAATAAACTTCCGATAATCCGGCACCTTTAGGACCCAGGGGGTGCCGGATTATCAGATATGCCGGACTATCAGAAGGGGGGGCTATGAGGGGTCTGAGGTGGGGTGGGGTGATGCTACCCCAGACCCCCTC